GAGCCATGTGCCTGGCCAAAACAGAAAATTTTTAAAGCTTTTTAATCAATTTACTTGAAGTTGGCCATGATGAACATATTGCTTATGATCAACATCTGAGGAGCATCGCAGGATTAGCTCTGCCCTGTGGACATCCCGAGATGGGCCCTAAAGTAAAGCATCAGTTTCTTCTAGACAATAAAAGAACCCAGAGAAGATAACACTTGGAAATGAACATGTTTCCCTTGGTTTATAAACATCTGAATTTAAAAGCCATGAAGTCAGAAGATGCACCTGTGGGCAAAAAGCTCCTGAAGACACTCAACACCATCGGTCACCAGGAGAATGTAAATCAAACCCACTGTGGGATCCTGCCCCACATCCACTAGGATGGCTAGGATCCACAGGATAGAAAACAGCCGGGAGCGGTGGCTCACCCGCAACCCCAGCACATTGGGGAGCCCAGGTGCAGGCGCTGGTACTGGCCTGGGCAACACAATGAGACCCCACCTCTATTTTTAAAATAATTTTTTTTTTTTTTTTTGAGACAGAGTCTGGCTCTGTCGCCCAGGCTGGAGTGCAGTGGCGTGATCTCGGCTCACTGCAAGCTCTGTCCCCTGGGTTCACGCTATTCTCCTGCCTCAGCCTCCCGAGTAGCTGGGACTACAGGCACCCGCCACCACACCTGGCTAACTTTTTGTATTTTTTTAGTAGAGACGGGGTTTCACCGTGTTAGCCAGGATGGTTTCGATCTCCTGACCTTGTGATCCGCCCGCCTCAGCCTCCTAAAGTGCTTGAATTACAGGTGTGAGCCACCGTGCCCAGCCAAAATAAAATTTTTTTAAATAAAAAAATGAAGTTTTTAAAAATATGCAATAAAAGTATTCTTAATAAAAAACCAGACAGAAAATAGCAAGTGCTGGTGCGGATGTGGAGAAATCAGAACCTTTCTGATTTCTCAGAAAGCACAGCTGGTGGGCATGGGAGGCAGTTTGGTGGCTCCTTACCAGGTTAGACACAGAATGACCACACGACTCAGCAAGGCCACCTCTAGGGAGGCACCCAAGAGAACTGAATGTTCACAGCAGCATTATTCTCAACAGCCCAAAGGCGGAAACCATCCAAATGTCCATGGAACTGACCAATGCCTACAGCGGCCTGTCCCCCACTAAGGAGCTTTTCCCACGGAAAGGAATGAAGTGTGGATGCCCCAGCACAAGGGACTCTGAAACATGACACAGAGGGAAAGAAACCAGGCACGAAAGGACACATCCTGTAGGATCCCGCTGAAGTGAAATGTCCAGAACAGGCAAAGGCATGGAGGCAGAAAGTGGGTGCTGGGCCGGGGACAGGAAGTGACTGCGAATGGGTGTGGGGTTTCCTCTGAGGTGACGAAGGCATTCTGGAACAAATGATGATGCTCGCACAACATTCTTAATGTGCCTAATGCACTGAACTGTATACTTTGTATACTTTATAAGCTTTCAACCCTACATTTTATGTGTATATTACCAAAGTTTAAAAAAATAAAAAGAGGGCTGGGCGCGGCGGCTCACACCTGTAATCCCAGCACTTTGGGAGGCCAAGGCGGGCGGATCATGAGGTCAGGAGATCGAGACCACCCTGGCTAACTCGGTGAAACCCCGTCTCTACTAAAAAATACAAAAAATTAGTCGGACGTGGTGGTGGGCGCCTGTAGTCCCAGCTACTCGGGAGGCTGAGGCAGGAGAATGGCGTGAACCCGGGAAGCGGAGCTTGCAGTGAGCTGAGATCGTGCCACTGCACTCCAGCCCAGGCGACAGAGCGATACTCCGTCTCAAAAAAATAAATAAAATAAAATAAAATAATAAAATAAAAAAATAAAGCTAGTTTGTGATTTTGAGACAGGGTCTGGCTCTGTCATCCAGGCTGGAGTGCAGTGGTGTGATCTTAGCTTGCTGCAACCTCTGCTTCCCAGGTTCAAGCAATTCTCCTGCCTCAGCCTCTTCAGGATTACAAACACCTGCCACCATGCCCGGCTAATTTTTGTATTTTTAGTAGACAAGGGGTTTCACCATGCTGGTCAGGCTGGTCTTGAACTCCTGTAGGCGTCAAATGATCCGCCCGCCTCAGCCTCCTGAAGTGCTGGGATTACCAGCGTGAGTCACCATATCTGGCCTTCCTTCATTTACTATTTATTGACTTCCCCTAAAATATAAAGGGTTATAATCTGTTCAGACAGCAAAGATGCTGTCTTACCAGGGTAATTTTCCATACTTTTCGTTGACTTACTATGTCTTGATGGTTTAAGAAAACAAAGCTTCCCACGCTTAGGAAAGAGCTAAGTTTCTCTATAACTGTTCTCTCCTATGTTTAAGCATTTTGTCACTTTCACGTGGGTAGCTAAATATTATTTCTCAGGTACCCATGATTCTTAATGTTCAAATCTCCTGACATCTTTTTATTTTTTTTCTTCTCAAAATTGAATTCTAAATGTCAAATAAAATAAAACTTTTAGGAAACTTTTTTTTTTTTTAGATGGAGTCTCACTCTGTCGCCAGGCTGGAGTGCAGTGGCGCAATCTCGGCTCACTGCAACTTCCCTGGTTCAATTGATTCTCCTGCCTCAGCCTCCCAGATAGCTGGGATTACAGGCACCTGCCACCACGCCTGGCTGATTTTTGTATTTTTAGTAGAGAGGGGGGTTTCACCATGTTGGCCAGGATGGTCTTCATCTCTTGACCTCGTGATCCACATCCACCTGCCTCGGCCTCCCAAAGTGCTGGGATTACAGGCGTGAGCCACCACGCCCGGCCCCAGGAGAACCTTTATATTTAAAATGATCTATGTGATGTCCCAGAAGTTCCCCGGAAAATCACAAAATTTTTTTCTTATAAAAAGAGAGGTATTTGAAATAATTAGGTACAAGGTGGGGTGTGGTGGCACGCGCCTGTGGGTCCCAGCTACTCAGGAGCCTGAGGCAGGAGGATCTCGTGAGCCCAGGAGGTAGAGGTTGCAGTGAGCTGTGATCACACCACTGCCCTCCAGCCTGCATGACAGAGGTCTCTATCAAAAAAAAAAAAAAAAAAAAAAAAAAAGAAGAAAAAAGTAAAAAGAAAAAAGATGTTAAGGAAATGATTAGTTTCTTTGATGTGTTAGGATTGATAAGTACCAGGGGAAGAACTGCTGAGTCGGGAGAAATGTGTGACCCGCCCTGGGCTGTGTGTGTCAGGTAACTCGTTGGTCTAAAGCACTGAGAATTGTGCACGGTGCTGCACGGAGACGTCCCGGCTGCCCACGGTGCTTCTCTTCATCAGAGTCCCGAGGCCATTTGCCTGATGCTGTCAGCCGGCAGCAGTCCGGAGCAACTGGGCATAAGCCCCGTCACTGTTGTTACATTAACTGGGGAGTCACCTCACTTGAACGTGAGCTGTGCGTCTCCAATGCCAGTAGTTTGCAGCAGGGCGACCGTCACTCACTCTGGGGCTGTGTTACCAGGCAGACGGCCACCGCCTGCCCCACACTTTTTGCCCCTCCACTGGATATTCTTGCTAGAGTCATGGAATAGTCAGCTTCACAATTATCTGTAAATAATTTCCTCTGTAAACATCTTGCTCATCCATTTTTTAGAGATCAGATGTTCTGTTTCGGGCATCTTTGAAAGCAGCGTCAATGTCTTGGATTAACTTTGTCTAGAACTCTTTTTTGGACTCTGTTTCCAGATGTCTACAGGACAATCAAATGTTACTTCTCAGTTGCATTATTCTTGCTATGAGCGGACCTTTCACTTTTGAAAAGTGGAAGTGGTAAATTCACCATGGCCATGTGCAGTCTTTTGTCATCTACAGTTTATTTATTTTTTTTTTTTTTGAGACGAACTCTCAAAGATGACTCCTGACCCAGGCTGGAGTGCAGTGGGGCAATCTCAGGTCACTGCAACCTCCGCCTCCTGGGTTCAAGCAATTCTCGTGCCTCAGCCTCCCATGTAGCTGGGATTACAGGCGCCCGCCACCACGCCCAGCTAATTTCTGTATTTTTAGTAGAGACGGTGCTTTGCCATGTTGACCAGCAACTCCTGACCCCAGGTGATCCACCTGCCTCAGCCCGAAAGTGCTGGGATTACAGGCGTGAGCCACCGCGCCCAGCCCCATCCATGGTTTTTGTGTTACTCTGATGCTCCCCAGAAAGCTTAGAGTGCTTCATCTTCAACAGGGACTATCTCAGAGCCTGGGGAAAGGACTGGACAGGCATTATGGGCACAGGCTTCTGATGGCGGCATTTAGATGACGCTGAGACCATCCCAGGACCGAGTCTCTAGTAGAGAAGCAGATGGATTGTTGAGACCAAGAACCAAGATGGAGTGGAACAAGAATGGACCTCACAGGAGGGGATGAACTGATGGTGGAAGATGATGGCTTTTGTTAAGAATATGGTTGATGTCTTTTTAATGTTCTACTTTCTGGATATATAAAGAACTCTTTCTCTTTCCTCTGAAGCTATGTACAGTCCATAAAATTTTTGCAGTCTCTGCTTTTGTGAATCAAAACAGAACATTTGTAAGTGATATCTTTTTTTTGAGACAGAGTCTCGCTCTGTCGCCTAGGCTGGAGTGCAGTGGCGCAATCTCGGCTCACTGCAAGCTCCGCCTCCTGGGTTCACGCCATTCTCCTGCCTCCGCCTCTCGAGGAGTAGCTGGGACTACAGGCGCCCGCCACCAAGCCCAGCTAATTTTTTTGTAATTTTAGTAGAGACAGGGGTTCACCGTGTTATCCAGGATGGTCTCGATCTCCTGACCTCGTGATCCACCTGCCTCGGCCTCCCAAAGTGCTGAGATTACAGGCATGAGCCACCGCGCCTGCCCTAAAATTAGTTTTTAAAGAGGCTTTTACAAGTCCAATCTGAAATTCTTTACGGAAACTCCTAAGAAAGCAAAGTTAAGAATGCAGAGGCGGTGAATGAGCACTCTCGCTGCAGCTGTGGAAACCATCCAGCCAGCCATCTACAAGCCAGCTCCATTTTGTGAGATCAGAAGCCACCTTTCCCACCCTTCTGTGCTTCATCTGCCCGATTATTGGGTTTTCATGCAGATGTGTGAGTTATGCCTCCCTCAAGCCTTGTCACAACATCCGCACATTACCAGTCTGATGTGCAGGGAAAAAACACCTTTCTTTGAGATTACTTTCCACCAAAAGCGGAGAAACTGTAGGGAAAAAACGAGTTTCCAGCTTCCGTAGAGACTGCCTTGTCTACTGCACTTCCCCCGGGTTATCGGCGTCCAGCCCCTCATTGTCTCGGAGCTGCTTTGCGATTCTACCGCTGATAGGCATGCGGATTCTACCCTACCCGCCTCTCCCTCTACAAGAACCAGTTCTGCCTCCATCTGAAACTCGATTCCTTTACTCCATATACAATTGGGCCTGTTTGACCTTTCCTTGGAACTGGTTAAAGCATCTGTCCGGTTTCCTCATTGTTTAATGAATAGAATCAATCCTAAACAATGCTCATTTTTCATATTTGGGAGCCACATTTTACTTCTTTCTGAAAATTATCTTTTAATACATAGTTAAATAAATATTACTGGACACAGTTAAACATCAGAAAGGACACTGCATTATGAACTGGGATGAGCTACAGCTGTCCTGAATGTTTCTGCTCTAAGTAACACAGCACTGAAGTGATGTTTTTGTTTTTTTTTTTTTTGAGACGGAGTCTTGCTGTCACCCAGGCTGAGTGCAGTGGCACAATCTCAGCTCACTGCAACCTCTGCCTCGCAGGATCAAGTGATTCTTCTGCCTCAGCCTCCCAAGTAGCTGGGACTACAGGCGCGCAACACCATGCCTGGCTAATTTTTGTATTTTTAGTAGAGACAGGGTTTCACTGTGTTGGCCAGGTTGGTCTCGAACTCCTGACCTCAGGTGATCCGCCCGCCTCCGCCTCCCAAAGTGCTGGGATTACAGGTGTGAGCCACTGTGCCCGGCCTAGTACTAAAGTTTATAAAACATGATGGTGAGAAGAAGGAGAAATGGACAAAAACACAGGAGCAATGGAGGATTTTTAACACTTTGTGGTTCTTGGCAGTTCAAATTGAGGAGCATAAATAAATTTATAAACAATATTAATAAGTATATTTAATATGGTTGTTAAATAGAATAAAATAAAAAGTAGTATCCAGCACATTTGGTTTAATAAATAACCAAAGGAATTCTGAAACTTCCCCTTAAGTCACTGGTGAAATAGAAAAACAGCCCACACTGGCCAGGTGCAGTGGCTCACGCCTGTAATTCCAACACTTTGGGAGGCCAAGGTGGGCGGATCACCTGAGGTTGGGAGTTTGAGACCAGCCTGACCAACATGGAGAAACCCCATCTCTACTAAAAATACAAAATTAGCCGGGCGTGGTGGCACATGCCTGTAATTCCAGCTACTCAAGCCTAAGGCAGGAGAATCGCTTAAACCCAGGAGGCGGAGGTTGTAGTGAGCCGAGATTGCACCATTGCACTCCAGCCTGGGCAACAAGAGTGAAACTCCATCTAAAAACAAAACAAAACAAACAAACAAACAAAACACCCGCAATGGCAGGCTATCTAGACAATAATTACACTGATAATAATATCCCTCAAAATCTCTGGGGCTTGGCCAAAGTGATACTCATGAAAATTCTCACCTTAAGAAATGCAATTACTAAGCAAGAAAGAATAAAAATAAATGTGAAACATTCGATCTAAGAAATTAGGAAAAGAACAATAAAATAAACTCAAAAACAGGAATGAAAAGAGATAAAATGGGAATTACTTCTGTTCAAGATACTGGAGTCATCCAGTGGTTCCAGAGTGTGGAAACCCCTGGAAAGGGGAGAGGGTGCTCTTCCACACACACCACACACACACGTGTCAGGGAGCATGTCTGACATGCCCCATAAGCTCTCCAGAAGAGATCAGACAGAAATGGAAGAAAGCAGTGTTTGAAAAACAATGGCTGAGAATTCTAAAGAACAGAAAAACAACCAGGTAACCAACCTAAAATTTGGTCCTAAAATTTAAAAAACATACTGATTCCTGAGCAGGATTCAGGGAAACAAATCCACACTTAGACACAACAATGGTAAAACAGGAGCACTTAGCAGATTGGGAGAAAAGTCTAAAAACAGCTTCCCCAGGCCAGGGGCAGTGGCCCACTCCCGTAATCCCAGCACTTCGGGAGGCCAACATGGGTGGATCGCTTGAGCTCAGGAGTTCGAAACCAGCCTGGCCAACATGGCAAAACCCTGTCTCTACCAAAAATACAAAAAAAAAATTAGCTAGGCTGAACCCAGGAGGCGGAGGTTGCATTGAGCCATGATCATGTCACTACACTCCAGCCTAGGCAACAGACAGCAAGACTCCATCTCAAAAAAAAAAAAACCCGCTTCCCCAAAGGAACTGAGATCAGACTGAAGGCTGACCTCTCTGAAGACATAAGAATATTATCTTCAAAAGAAGTTGAGCCGGGCATGGTGGCATGCATCTGTAGTCCCAGCTACTTGGGAGGCTAAGGCACTATGGTGAGCTACGATGGCACCACCATGCTAGCCTGGGTGTCAGAGTGAGACCCCATGCCTTTAAAAACAAAAAAAAAGTTGTAGAAAAATGTCAACATACAGAAAATTCTATTTCCGGCTAAAGCATCATCCTAGAAAGTCATCTGCAGATACATAGCGTGTACTCCCCACAGACTCTTGCTGGAGGAACTGACAAAGCAAAGGGCAGAGATCCCTGAATAAAAGTCCATTTCCCTTTTCTCTTTCCTAGAAAAGATGGGGCTGCCTTGTATCTGAGTCTGAGTAGAAAGCCTTGTGTCTGATCAATTGCTCCCCAGGCTCCTGGAAGACCCCATTGCGGTAACAGGGAACTGGGGTCAAGGAGCAGACCTGGGAAGAGCTTCAACCAACTATTTCACAAAATGTCAGCAAAAGTTATTACTTCCAAATTAATTTATTGTTATAAGATTTTAAATACGTATATGTCATTTAATAAATTAAATGAAAATAGATACTTTACTATTTATGCACATATGCCTAATAAATAGTATTGAGTCAGCTGCCAACTATTGGGAAACAACAAAGCGAGATCCCTAATTTGTTCTTTTTCACTAGATCATTTCCAGATGCATCAAAGACTCAGCAGGAAAGTGACATGACGATATGATACAAGCGGCCCCACAGTAAGCCCCCTACATACACACAAAATTAAAGTACAAATTGAAAACAGGAAATCCTTTTACCTATTTAGATTGGCCCTCCAAATAAATTTTCTTTTTCTTTTTCTTTTTTTTTTTTTTTTTTTTTGAGACGGAGTCTCACTTTGTCGCCCAGGCTGGAGTGCAGTGGCCAGATCTCAGCTCACTGCAAGCTCCGCCTCCCGGGTTTATGCCATTCTCCTGCCTCAGCCTCCTAAAAATACAAAAAAAAAAAAAAAAAAAATTAACCAAGTGTGGAGGCACGCGCCTATAATCCCAGCTACTTGACTGGCTGAGGCAGGAGAATCTCTTGAACCTGGAAGGTAGAGGTTGCCATGAGCCAAGATCAAGCCACTGCACTCCAGCCTGGGCAACAGAGCAAGACTCTGTCTCAAAAAAAAAAAAAAAAAAAAAAAGAGCCGGGCGCGGTGGCTCAAGCCTGTAATCCCAGCACTTTGGGATGCCGAGGTCAGGAGATCGAGACCATCCTGGCTAATGTGGTGAAACCCCGTCTCTACTAAAAAATACAAAAAACTAGCCGGGCGAGGTGGCGGGCGCCTGTAGTCCCAGCTACTCGGGAGGCTGAGGCAACAGAATCACTGGAACCCGGCAGGTGGAGGTTGCAGTGAGCCGAGATCACACCACTGTACTCCAGCCTGGGCAACAGAGCAAGACTCTGTCTCAAAAAAAAAGTTAGGTATCATGAAGAAGTTTGCTAGAAACAACATTTTAAGGAATCCCAGCTTTCGACAGGATCAAGGAAATGCCATGTGCGGCTGATTTCTGGAAGGCGCAGAGGGCGGGTGAGCTCAGAGTCCCACAGCACCTGCCTCCTGCTTCCCCCTGCAGGCTCCTGAGTGGGGCTGTTCTCACTCCCCGTCCTGGTCTTGGCCTGAACCCTGCAGCAGGCAGGTGAAGCTCCTTGTCTCGGAGGGGCCCCACCACGTCACCTGCTGGAGTTGGCTCCACAGTCTGAATGGGTATTGGCAGGAACCAGTGTCACCAGAGCACAGGGGACGCCCCGGCACCTCCCCCCACAGCCATGTATATGGGCACCGGCAGTGTGAGACAGGCTCTATGCCTGAAAGCAGCTGAGAGCCAGTGAAGTGACTGTCAGCTTGCTCCCTGCAGGATGAGGCCCCTTCCCAGAGGTGGACAGGTGAGGACATGCACTGAGGCAGCTGCAGGTGACCCCTGGGCCACCGGTGCTGGGGCAGAGTAACTGTTGTGAAGTGGACTAGAGAAGCATCTAGAAACAGCCGCAGGCAGAGCAGGTCCTGCTAAGCCCCCTGGCTGGGCAGCTGTCACATGTTGAGTAATGATGATATGTTTGTCACAGCTGACCATTCTGTACTACTTAACGACTGCAGCCACATCATTGTGAACCAGATTAGTGATCTTAGGGAAAAAATGCAGATAGACCAGTCTTGCCTAAACCTTTGCAATCAGGACTGATCTTTTTAATCTTTTAAAATGTTTTTAGAGACTGGATCTCCTGTGTTGCCCAGGCTGGAGTGCAGCGATTCTTCACAGGCAGGATCATACCCACTGCAGCCCCGACCTTCTGTGCTCAAGTAATCCTCCCACCTCAGTCTCCCAAGTAGCTGGAACTTCAGGTGCACGACACCATGCCCAGCTAATAACTCAGTGTTTAGGTGGGAAGGACGGTCTTCCCAAAAAGAAACAAATGGAGTATGTTAGGTATAATCAAAGCCAAACCAAAAGTCCCCATTCTTCTCTTCTCACTCTACTTTCTTCTCTAAATTGCCAAGAAATTGACAAACTTCTACTGAGTCCTATCCGTGGATATGTGCGTGCATGCACACACGGTCTAACATACAAATGTGTGTGTGCACACGGTCTCTCATACAAACGCATGTGCGCATAGTCTCACATACAAACACATGTGTACACAGTCTCACAAATGCGTGTG